CTAGCAACTGAAATACCTTCGAAAAAACCAGCTCTTTCTTTGTCGGGAAGCAAATTTACCTGATAAAATTTGAACTTTTCTGAAAAATCTGATGGTGTGGAGGAACCGCCATGTTACTGTGGTAGCCTGAGGACAAGCATTGTTTGAAAATGATAACGCACAGACTGTCATGTTAGTGACCGCATTGATCAGTGGAGATATAGTGTATTGAGACGAGCGCTGCCGAGTAGCTGAGATATCTTCACATAATTCGGTCGTTGATCCTCTAACGTGCCTGGCCTAGAATAGCACGAACAAAAGGTTGACTTGTGTATAGCTGGAACAAGAACAAAAGCTTGATTTTGTTTTTCTTTGTTTTAGATGAAATTAGCAACGATGTGATATTTTAGCAACTGATTGTATTCTTCGATGCAATAGTGCAACCTTCGCTTGACTGCATGCAGCAAGATCGAATGGCTTAATTCGAAAATGTAATTATAAAGTTATAGAAATCTGGGTAATTATGGAAATCGAGATGCTCATCCTTGCCTATATCCATTCTTAACAGTCGAGCATAAGTTCGCATCAAGAAATAATGATTATTCGAGGTATTGCAATTGATTTAGAAAAGCGATCGAGCCTGAGCTTGTTTTAAGCGAATTTTCAAGCAAGAGTATGCTCTATACACTGAAAAATCGTAATTGCAAAAGTCCACGATCAATGGAAATCGGAGATTAAACAGTTTCTTTCACTCTTGAGTTGTATTATATTGAGTTGTGATTAAAAGTGAACGAGAAATCGATATATCAGTTGCGTTTCTACTGGTATGGTTTGTAAAAATCAAGAAACAAGCAATGGAGTTTTTTAGGAGATGAATCTCGGGATGATATCATATCAGTTCTTATCGATAATTTTCAANTTGTTGTTTTTTTGGACCCTAATGTCGCTTACCTTTCCCAGTGAAAGCCTTGTTACTGCTTCTTCTCCGCCTCACCTTAGTCCATCCCAAAAAACGAGTGCGGTCAATGTAATTTTCCGATGTCGCTTCATCTTTTTTTAGGGGAGTTCCGGATGAATTTTTGAATAAACTGATTTCAGTAAGATCGAGTAATGCTGAGCACAAAATGATTATTTTGTAGGAGATTTTGCCTTGTAAAGCAAGTGGACATTTTACTTAAGTGTGTAGTGCAGATACAATAATGAAGTGAACATTTATTTCGAAGAAAACTTAATTGATTGACAGAAAACGCTCAAATGAATACATCGAGAAGACAGACTCATTAAATAAATCATGAAATCACTTTTCACTCGCAGCGAAAGATATTCTTCGGGTAGCAGTGGGTGAACTGAGGTTGAAAACCTTCGTATCGACTGATGACGCACTTCTTGAGTTTAACATCGCAGTGACAACCCTTTCCGCTAAAAAATTTCGGCTATCATTGAACTATTTTTATTATGAGAGAAAAAAAATCGGCTGCAAATGTCTAAGGGATTTTCTCGTACAACAAAGTCCAGAGTCCAGGGATTGGTTCTATTCGAAATATCTAAGATTCAAGGATTTTGAATTACATAAAATACGACTGAAGAGGATCGTTTTTCTCTTCCCAGTGGTTCAGTGTTAATATGAGTCATTCTGAGTTTACGAAAATTTTTGGATGAATAAATGCCGAACGCTCATAACGTTCAGAACATGTGAAAATCATCGGTGAAACTTCTCATATTCACATCCAATTCTGCCATTTGTCAGGTNACGTTCAGAACATGTGAAAATCATCGGTGAAACTTCTCATATTCACATCCAATTCTGCCATTTGTCAGGTCTGCACCAAGCCGGTGGCTCGCGTTGATCCTCACAGTCTGCATCATGCTGACATACTTTATACCTGAAACGCGACATCACCTATAACACTTGCAAATTCATCACCGTTTGATACGAATATCACTCAGTAGTACCATGAAGAGTAAACTATTCATATTTGTTTGGGTTAGGAACGGTAGAGGATTTGTACGAGGGATGGCGTGAAATCAGGTTCCAACCTCAAATTTGGCAGATGAATACGCGAGAGCCTGGTTTTCTATGAATGACAAATTCAAAAGTATAAAGCGGATAGAAACTAGGCACTCGGAAATATCTCTATACACATTTGACGCGCAGTTTAATGCAGTGAAATTATCGAAGAATATGCCAGTGTGACGTCCAAGCAGCAACAACATTTCAAGGCATCCATCGTTCATGGTTAGTTTCAATTAAATTTTACATTTCTGAAACCCTTCACCGCACTGATTCTTTGATTTCAATCTTCAAATGATGCTAAGCGACACCCCTGTCCTCCACTCGCAAATATTACTGCAACTAGGCTTCAGCCTAGGCTTTAGTTAGATGTGAGTTGCATTAGGTTGAACCAAATAAAATGCACTTATAAATCCGTAGAAATTAGGCAGATGGCCTTAAAAACACTCACTCATCGTCGCTATTTCGCGTCGGCACGAACACATAACCTTCGCAGTTGGCATAACGATCGACAACTGTCACGCATTCGTCATTCTGAATGCTAACAACAGATCATATGGTTACAGTAATAAAAACTTGCAGATCCTTTGAATACCATCAAGCAATGCTACACTCTCGCATTACTTTAAACACTTTCAGATTTTGTTTACAATCGACGTAAATCCGTATAAATTGCTAGAGTTGTTTCTTTTTCTCTGATTGATCCGAATACTCATCCATGATCTGTTGAATGAAAATTTAGTTTATCTTTGGTTTTAGGATGAGCGCATAAATGACATAAATCATCAAGTTTAGGTTCAGTTGGACGGTTAATACTGGTAGCAATGATCGAAGAATGTCACGACTGTAGCCGGGCAACTGAGAAGGATTGTCTAATATTAAATGCGCATGGAAGTTTATGAGAACGTTATGGAGACATACCTGAGCAAGTACGTAAACGATATGCAAGAAAATTAACGTGATCAGCTTCATATTCTGACGGCAACAAAATGAATTGGTAAATATGAATGCGAAATCCTGCAATTAGCATGATTAAATGTAATTTCAAGCCAAAGCAGCAAAAAATCAAATTTGAAGAAGCAAAGTATGCCGTCGTTTAATTGTTTTGCAACTATCAAAACTGGCGAATGCAGCGATTGGAAGTGTGAAAGAACCATTATGAAAGAATGAAGGAAAGTGTTTTCTTCGCTTTTGTTTATAGCCCGCAGATCTATTTTTACGGATTCAAACAGATTAAACGAGATAAGAAGAGGTGTATGAATGTCGGTTGTGATAGCTGTTTGTTGTTGTCGAAAAACATAGTGCTAACACCGTGTTTTGGTTATTTTCGAGTTGTTGGTGCTGAAGTTGTGATAGATTGAAAGAGAGCGATGAAGGAATTAAAATTGTGGATTTGAAACAATCACTGATAAACTTGAAAAAACACTTCTATTCGAGCATATGTTCTCATTAGATGATTGCCTTTCTTCTGTTGAAGATGAACGGCACGGCGCTGACGATCAGCAAAAATCATTTGTAAAAATAACAATAAGATAATTTTTCATCACGTCGTTATCATAATAATAGCAAATGATAGCAATTCATTTCATCACAAATGTACTGCACATTCAAATGTATGTGTCGAAGCGCAACAAAACGCTTGACAAGATTATCGAGATTGTTGTTTCCTGGAGAGTCTGTATTCGTAAAGGTTCAAGTGTGAGCTATATTTATTAAGTGGAGTCAATGATCACGAGCAAAGAGATG